AGCTATGCCTGCTTATCCTTTGCAACTCATTCTGTCCCACTCAAAATGAAAAAGGATTGTGGTATTTTCTTAACTTATTGGTCACTGCCCTGGAACCAGAGCTAACCCTTCAAGAGGCACCTGCCGCAGCCACAAGGGAATCCAGGGGAAAAGGAGGAGTATCAATTTCTCCATGACATTTGCTACTGCTACTGGTAACCATTAGGTCTATCCTTCTCCATGATTACCCTGAGGGGCTAACTGCCAATGCAGAAGTGGGAAGGTTGGGAATTTGCAGAGTGGAGTAAGAACAGAGAATATTAAAGGATAAAGGTCAGCACAGTTGTGTTGGAGATAAACCCCAGGATTGGCTGACACAAGGTATATGGGAAACAAAGTCATTTTCACACTTTCTGATTGGTCCATTGCCCCCTTGGAATCGGGCCATGGTCCCCCAGATGGCCCCAGGCTCTACTTTAGGAGTCATTGTTGTATCTAGGCAATGAAGAAATAGATGCTTGATGTATTGGACTACGTTGAATAAACAACTTTGCAAACAAATGAGAGAGAAATGTTTAATGAGTACTTGAAGATGTAAGGACTTTCTGGGAAATTTCTAATTCAGTACAAATATGTAAGCCAATCAAAATTATCTATATTAACCAAAAGAATACAATGCAATAAATGAGAAAACAAATAAATGAGAATAAGTAGACAAAATTACTGATGGAAATTTATAAGGGACTGAAAAATATGTTATGATGTTTTGTGTTGAAATTAATGTAGCATCCTCTTGAGACATGCTCGGACCATAGAAAAGCACATGGAAGCTTGGAGTGTACTGCTTCTGTGTATCCCACTCCAGAGCATGCACATATATCCTCTGCCTGCTTCCTACTCGCCATGATGACTAAGGTCTGAACAGTATAATCATGAAAAGTCTTAATTGGCTACTGAGCTGGCACTCCATAGATATATAGGGACAATTCCTGTTCCTCAGACTTTCCTCTACTTGTTGGCTTTGACAAATAAGGACAACACTCAGAGCTGTCCAGAGGATTAGGTATAATATCTCTATATACTTAATATATAGGTATAGGAGTGCAGTGCCCATGCACATTTATTCAAGGCATCCTCTCAGGGAAATATCCTTCCAGACAAAATATTTCATCTTGATGAGTCAAAGAAGAGACTGAAATCTGAGGACACCATTGTCAGCAGGGGATTCTTTAGTTAAAATAAATGAAATTTGTCTGACAGAATTAAATCCCGTTGTCCATTTTAACAGTAATAATCCTCAGTTAACACATGATGGATATGTTAACACATATTAGAGTGGGGGTATATCTCTCCCTACCCAGTCACAAGGCATGAGCTCCTGGCCTCCCAGGTGAACCTTTGCAGGGTAGTAGATCACCTTCCATTTATGTCTTCTTTCCTTTGGTCCAGAGCCTTTCAGAGCTCAGTCAGCTGGCCTCTTCCTCTTCCTTAGCACCTGAGCAACAGGACAGTGGTTTTCAAGATGTAGTGACAGCTCGCTCCCACACATAGCACAGCGATGTCATTGTGTGGCTCAAGGGGAGAAAAAATTGACATTTCTATGCCTCTTCCCCCCCCCACCCTTCTTCAAGAGAGACTTTAATTCCTGCCAAAAGGGGAAGCAGGAGATTGGTTCCAGGAGCTTGACCACTCTACTCTCTCAGACAGGGAGTACCAGGTTAGAATTATATCTATCTTACACTAAGGCACTGTTGGTGCAGTTGTGAACTGGCCCAACCATTCTGGAGAACAGTTTGGAAGTGTGCCCAAAGGGCAAAACTGTGCAGATGCTTTCACTAGGTAATACTACAACTAGGTCTGTATCCCAAAGAGACAAAAGAAAAAGGTCTCAAATAACTTGCATTTTAATGAAATAGATAGTGCATAAAGAAGGAAGGTGTGTGCCAGGGCCAACTCAAACAGACTTGAGAAAGCCAATCGTTAAATTTCCAGCTTGAGGATTTTCACCTCAGAAATTGACAAATGCTATAAATCAGGGCTTGATTTATTGCTTTGTTGATTGTCTACACTTAACAAAGTGATGGATAAAATGCTAATGATGTGGATTAAACTTAAAAATGTGTTCTGATCACAATTCTGTTTTGACAATCTGGTTATTAAATATCTTCCAGCACACACTCCTAAATTGAAGGTTTCATTTGCAAAACAAATTGAAAGATCCCATAGTCTTAAGGGCACAGTGGCAAAGACAGAGATAATTCTTCTCCTTTAATGACATTTTCACCAAAAATTATATCAATTTCTGATGTCAAACTACTTGACAACATCAAGGACTTTAACAACAAAAATTTTCTTTTCTGGGTTTACAATAGATACGGCAGTAACACCCATAGGAGCAGTTGCCAGGCTATATCTTGATAGGGGTTCCTTCTGATGATGATGGTTGCAGGTACTAGGCTGTAAGCATTGCTTTTCCAAAGATCCTTGTGTTCAGGGCTGTCTCCATCAGGATCCTTAAAGGAGGTCAAGGTGGTGGTGGTACTTTGACTTGCCTGTCATATGTTGCCTCCTGTCTCTCCCAGTTTGGCTAGTGATTAGGGAGGATGACTGGCACCTTCTCAACAGGATTTGTTTTCCCAGATGATGGCTAACAGAACTAGGCTTGAAGTAGGACTGGTGGTCTGTGGATGGGGGGGGTTGTCATGCTTAGATTTATTGTGTTTATCTTTCTTAATAGTACCTCTAAAGATAAACACACACACAAGAATGCCTGCAAAGAAAACATGACTGGATTATTCATCTTGATCTGTCTTAGCCTCAGCCACACTTCCCAACCGTCATTAAAGAATCAAGGGAAATATGGAAGAGAGAGGAAAGAAGAGAAGTTTATCTTCTACTTCTGCCCATGAAGAAAAAAGATGAATGAGTTCAGAATACCCCAGTCCAATACTTCCAGTCTAGTGAAGGCCCATCTTATCCTTCTTGCCAGGGTTCATTACTGCTCTTCACATACCTCAGGGCTAGGATTAATGTTGTACCTTCTGCAGTCCAGGCTCTATACTAAATCTGAGAGCCAGTGGAGGTGTCCTTAGCTTTCAAGGGACAAATTAATTTTGAACAAAGAAAGAAACATGAAATAGTGCAAAGAGAACTGGATGTGGACTCATTGGACTTGGGTTTAAATCTTCTGATACTGCCAGTGTGACCTTAAGCAAGGTTACTTAACCTCCCTGTACCTCCCTCCTTCATCTGTAAAATGAGAGCATTGGAATAAATTGTCCCTGGGGTCTCTTCTAGCTCAACATCTAGAATCTTATGCCATTATGCACTTTTGAATCCAAGTAGTCCTTCCCTATTAACAAAAGAAAGTCATCCCCTCAATGCAGTAACAACTCAGTGGGAACTATTTTCCTGATACCCACCATTCTGACTAAAGCCCAATAGGGTAGGGACAATTTATTATGCTCCAACCTCTCATTCCAGATAGCTTGAAGATGTCAGGTGATAATTATTATATTGCCAAGGATGGCTGTATCATTCTTATAATTCAACACCTCCCATGGTCTGGCTCAATTCTTCCTATTTAATCCTATCTCCCATAATTCTCCCCAGGCACATTCTCTTTAGGTCGGTCTCATTAGCATTTGTGACACATGCTAAATTCATTCCCACCTCTGTGATTTTGCTTGTGCTTTTCTTCCCACCTTAAATGGTCTCTTTTTTCCTTTCTACAAGTAAATCCTGCCTACCCTTCAAGATTCAGTTCAAATCACACCAGTATAACATGCTCCATGACCACAACAGCCTTCCTCTTGGCCCAAAATCCTTATTGTTTCTATTATGTTTCAGCACTGGATTATATTTTATATATTACAAATATCCTCCTTTGTTTCGTTTGTATATAGCTTTTTTCTACAACAAGACTGATGCTTTTAGGAACCATGACAGAGATCCTTTTTCTTTCTTTTTCTTTTTTTTTTGCTTTTTGGTGAGGCAACTGGGATTAAGTGACTTGCCCAGGGTTACAGAGCTAGTAAGTGTCAAGTGTCTGAGGCCAGATTTGAACTCAGGTCCTCCTGACTTCAAGACTGGAGCTCTATCCATTGTGCCACCTAGCTGTCCCTATCTTTTTTTTTTGTTCCACCAATACCTAACATAATGTTAAGCACAAAGTAGATGACCCCCATCCACTCATTCATTGGTTCACACATTATGGAACAGGTATTATAAACCAATAGCTTAGGCCATTCTAGTCAATCTCAAAATCCTTCCTGGTATACCCTTAAGGTAGTTGCTACTACTATATCTTTTATTTCTCCACTTCTATCTCTATCTCTCTATTTGTGGGCTCTGTCTTTGTCTCTGTCTCTATCTGTTTCTGTGTATTTGTCTATGTGTTTGGGTATCTGTGCGTCTGCTTGAATTGAAGAATTAAATTAAGTTCAAGGGGAAAGAGGATGAATATTTCTTTCAAAGTATATCTCTTTGCTGATATATGTTTATGACTGAAATAAATGAAAATACAGAGCCTGTACAGTGAGAGTGTTAATTATTCATTCATTCATTCTCTTTCTTTATTTGTGCATTTCTAATAATGAAGTTGGGTACTTTGAATGTGTATGGATCTTCAGGAAAAAAATGTATGAAATAGAGGTTACAAAAATACTTTGAACTATTTAGAGGAAAACATGTCTTGTTAATTTCATTGATTTCAATTGAACTGAAAGTGCATTTATAAAATCTATTCAGTATTTCTATGTTTAATAATCAACTTTATAAAAAGCAAAGTTACACTTACGTGGCCAACTTCACAATTGAATTAAGTGGGCCATGGAGAATGGTTTTGTCTGATTATTAAAGGGAAATTTTGGGACTGCAAAATGAAGTTTGAGAGGAAAATAAAACCTTATCATGGCCAGCTTTATGAGCAATGCACTTCTCTGTTGTTAATTAAAAGATGATACAATCAATGAGTCATGGCCCTGCTGACTTATATTGCTGAAATGCTGTACAAGCAGGACTAGGCTTCATGTGAAGAGAGGAAGGCATCCTGCAAAAACAAGGCACAGAAGTGGGAACCAAGATGATCTTGCTCTTCTTCTGCTTGTTCTCTCTAGCGTCGTCTTCTGCTTTTCCTGCAGATCCAAAGATGGAGCATGAAGAAAGCAGGCAGCTTGCTCAGGTACTTACTCAATGAGTATTGTTGACTGACAGACTAAATACAATGAAAACTAGGGGCTACTTTTGTAACCATCACCTAAGGACCTGCAGCATTAGTAAAATGAGTACTTGACCTTTCTAAGAGGAAGAAGCTCCTAGGAAGAGGCATTTAATAGGGATGCGATGGGTGGGAGAGACAAACAGTTAAGTTCTGAACAAAGAAGGAAAGGGGACTCCAATGCTGGACTGTGGGAATTTCAGGAAATGAGAGAGAAAGAGAAAGGAGACAGAGACAGAGACACAGAGACAGAGACAGACACAGACACAGACATACACAGACAGAGACAGAGACGAAGACCAGAGATAGAGAGACAGACACAGACAGAGTCACAGAGATACAACCACATAGAAAAACACACAGATGGAAACAGAGGTAGAGACAGAGACAAAGACAGAGACCCACCAATAGAGAAATAGAGATGGAGATGGAGAAACAAAAGCATAGTCCCTTAAGGACGCACCAGGAAGAATTTTGAGATAGACTAGAATAGCCTAAGCTACTGGTTGATAATACCTGTTCCACAATGTGAACCAATGCACAACTCAGGAGGTGGCTTACAGAAATCATCGCAATTTGATGGTGCAATGTGACTGAAACTGATTGTATTTACAAAGCAAAGAATTTGTACATAGAAAATCTGTTTCTAGGAACACCAGGCTGAACATAGCAGCCAAGATAGTTAAAAACATAAACATCGCCCAACAAGGGAAAGAGGCCCAACATCCTCTAGGGTGTGGTTGGGGTTTGAGAAATTTTAGGGTTTGCTTTCTTTGGTCAGTTCCAAATCATTCTGTTCAATGAGTTTAATTTAGAGCTCACTATGTCCTAAAGTGTGCTGTTGCATTTTTTATGTTTGTATCTTTGTGTGTACATGTATGTGTTTTGTTTTGTTTTGATCTTCTGGATCAGGCATATGTAGGTCAGTTCTACACACTTGAAACAGAAGGGAGTCATCTTGTTCAAAACAAGAGCAATGTCCCCTTAGATGGAAAACTCCGGGAAATGCAAGCATTTTTTGGATTGACAGTGACTGGGAGACTTGACTCTAACACCCTTGAAATCATGAAACAGCCCAGATGTGGGATGCCTGATGTGGGCCAATATGGCTATATTCTGCCTGGGTGGAGAAAATACAACCTCACATATAGGTAATGCTTCTGTCTTTTTTAACACCCTGTAACTATCTACTCTCAAATTATACATATGTACTTGACTGTATGAAACGTGTCCAAAAATAAATGGAAACTAGAAGATGGCCAATTTAAGCTGGGGATGATAGAGAACTTCCCAACTGTGAAGGCTCTTAAATACTAGAATTGATTTTGAGGAAAGTTATGGAATGCTCTATTTAAAGCTGTTAAAAAATAAGAATTATCATAACAGGCTTGCAATAAATTATATATGTTCCTGATTTACAATGAAGGAAATGGGCAAAGTCTACACATCTTCTAAGATTCTTGTCTTTTCCACAGCTCTCTTGTCTTGCTCTATCTAGGTGGCTAAGCAGATAGAGTGCTGGACCTGAAATCAAGAAGACCTGAATTCAAATCCAGCATCATAATTTACTAGCTGTGTAACCCTCGATGAGTCACTTAATCTCTACTTGCTTGAGTTTCCTCATCTGTAATATGGGAATAATAATCTACCTCCCAGGGTTGTTGTGAGGATCAACTTAGATTATATTTGTAAAATGTTTGGTAAACCTTAAAGCACTACGTAAATGCTCACTATTATTTTTATTACTATACCTTAGAGACATGAGTAGCAAACAGCAGGCTCAGAAAGATAATATAGTGGTTCTAAATCTGCTCCTAAGTGCAGCAAAAAGATTGGTAGATCAAAGGACACCAAGGAAAATGTGGGAGGTGGCAAAGACGCAAAACTGTTTACAACTACCAATTATTCCCCAGGTATATTTATGCCCTATGGGAATTATTCTCAGTGCTAGTGTCAAAAGTTTCTTGGTGGAAGCCAGCTTCCTTTATGGTAAGAAAGCATATGTCAGATAGCTGATGTCTTTATAAATTAAGTCAGTAGTTCACCTAGTGCTAGGCAGCTAGGATGATGATGAATAAAATGTTGGACTTGGAGTGAGAAAGACCTGAGTTCTAATCCTTCCTCAGACCCTTACTAGCTGTGTGGTTCTGAGTCTGGGTAAATCACTTCACCTCCCAACCACAGTTTCCTTATCTATAAAATGGGGATAATAATAGAATCTACCCTACAGGGTTGTTGTGAAGATCAAATGAGATAATATAAGTAAAACATTTTATATAAATTATTAGTGTCACCATCACCACCACCACCACCATGATGATCATCATCATCATTATCATTCAGGAGGCACGAATTAAGGTGCAACATAGAGAGAGGTTGACTATAGTGAGGGTAGAGGAAAACATACAAAGCATCGGTGCAACATAGAGAGAGGTTGACTATAGTGAGGGTAGAGGAAAACATACAAAGCATCTGTATATAAGAAAAAGATGCTTTTTGTATTCAATGATACAAGTTGGGAGCCAAAAAGAATGTCCAGTCAAAAACTGCATATCTGATTAACAATTTTTCCCTTCCTCCAGAGAGCCCTGAATTTAAAGTCAATAGACATCTCTACCATTTCCTTACTCATGATCTTACCTCCCCCAAACACAGCCCTCTTCCCGTCTTTCCCCTTTCCCATCCTTCAGGTCACACAGATTCACAACCAATTACCCAGTTCTATCATCCTCACTCTTCCTCAGCCCACATATTCAATTGGCTCAGTCCAATGCAAGGTCTTGTTATTTCCACCTCAACAGTATCTCTAATTCATCTCGTTCTCTCCATTCATAGGTCTAACTCCTCTAAATTTAGGATTTCATCATCTCTTTCCTGGAATACTGCAAAAACTTTCCAACTGATTTCTCTGTCTCCACTCTCTCCCATCTTTACTCGACCCACATTTAGTTAGGTATATAAATTCATTAATGTATCTATTTTCCTTCATCCCCTTCAGCATTTGTCATTTCCAATAGGTGTGAGGTGGTACCTCAGAGTTGTTTTAATTTGCCTTTCTCTAACCAACAGTAGAGTATTTTTTTTTCATACAACTATAGATAGATTTGATTTCTTCTTCTAAAAACTGCCTGTTCATCTTTTGAGCAATTATCAATTGGAGAACGGCTCTTATTTTTATAAATTTGACTCAGTTCCCAACATATTTGATAAACAGTTTTTTATATTATTTCTTTGTCTGTGGTACCTTTTAGCAAAATGTATTTTCCTTGATTATCTCTTATAATTAGATCTATTTTTGTTTTTATTTTATCTGAGAACATGATTGCTGCCCTTGCCCTCTTCACATCAACTAAAGCATAATAGACTCTGCTCCAGCCCTTCATTTCAACTCTGTGTGTTTCTGTCCCGAGTGTCTTTTATACACAACATATTGTTGGATTCTGGTTTCCAATCCATCCTGCTGTGTGCTTCCCTTCTATGGATTAGTTCATCCCATTCACATTCACAGTTATGATTACTAGCTGTGCATTTTCCCCCACTCTACTTTCCTCTGCTAATTCTTCTCTCACTCATTTATCCTATCCCTCCTCAAAAGTCTATCTTGCTTCTGATCACTGCTCTTCCCATTCTGTCCTCACCTTTATTGCCCCCCCCCATATATCTTATCCCTTTCTCCTCCTATCTCCCTGTTGGGTAAAATAGATTTATATACCCAACTAAATGTGTGTACATATGTATATGGTTGTGTGCAAACATACATACATAAATATAAATATATATTCTTCCCATTGAACCAATTTCTGTAAGAGTGAGGTTCAGACCCTATTTTCCCCATCTACTACAAAAGCTCTTCCTTGTGTACCTCCTTTATGTGGGAAAGTTTGCCCCATTCTACCTTCCCCTTCCCCCTTCTCTCAGTGAATACCTCTTTCTCACCCTTACATTATCTTTTAAAAATTCATTCCGACATAATTGACTTATATCTGACCGCTTCTAATTGCCTTAATAATAATAAAATTCTTAGGAGATACATGTATCATCTTCCCACATAGGAATGTAAACAGTTTAACTTGAGTCCCTTATAAGAATTCTTTCATGTTTACCTTTTTATGCTTCTCTTGAGTTTGAATGTAAAATTTTCTATTTGGTTCTGGTCTTTTTTATCAGGAATACTTGGAACTCCTCTATTTCATTAGATATGCACTTTCCCCCCTGAAGTATTATATTAAGTTTTGCTGGGTATGTTCTGCTTGGTTGTAACCCTAGTTCCTTTGCCCTCTGGAATATCATATTCCAAGCCCTCCACTCTTCTATGTGGAAGCTACTAAATCCTGTATAATCCTGACTGCAGCTCCACAAACTTTGAATTATTTTTCTGGCTGCTTGCAGTATGTTTTTTTTTTTTACTTAGGAGCTTTAGAATTTGGGACTTTTTATTTGGGAATCTCTTTCAAGAGGTGATCAGTGTTGTGCTTTTTTTTTTTTTCAATTTCCATTTTGCCTTCTGGATCTAAGATTTTAGAGCAATTTTCCTTAATAATTTCTTAAACTATAATGCATAGGCTCTTTTTTTATAATGGCTTTCAGGTAGTCCAATAATTCTTAAATTATATCTACTGGATTTGTTTTTCAGGTGAGTTGTTTTTCCAATAAGATAGTTCACATTTTCTTCTAGCTTTTCATTCTTTTGACCTTGTTTTATTGTTTCTTGAAGTTTCATAGAGTCATTAGCTTCCACTTGCCTAATTTCAATTTTTAAGGAATTTTTTTCTTCATATTTGACCACTTTTGGCCAATTCTTCTTTTTAAAAAGTTCTTTTCTTCAATGAGTTTTTTTAAACCCTCTTTCCCATTTGCTCTATTCTGCTTCTAAAGGAATTATTTTTATCACTGAATTTTTGTGCCTCTTTTACCATTAGGCCAATTCTTTTTTTAAGGTGTTATTTTCTTCAGTATTTTTTTTGTTCCTCTTTTACCTAACTGTTAATTCTCTTTTCATAATTTTTTGAACTCTCATTTCTTTTCCTAAGTTTTCCTCTACCACTCTTATCTCTTTCTTTAACTCTTCCAGGAATTCTTGCTGACCTTGGGCCCAATTAGCATTTTTCTTTGAGGCTTTGCTTATGGCTATTTTCATATTCTTGTCTTCTTTTGAGTTTATGCCTTGGTCTTCTCTTCCACCAAAGTAGCTTTTTATGATCAAGTTAGGGGTTTGTTTGTTTTTTCTTTTCTTTTCTTTCTTTTTTTCCCCTGTTTTCTTATTTTCCCAGCCTCTATCTTGACTTTGAACTTTATGTTAAAGTTGGGCTCTGACCGCCTGGGGTGAGGAGGCACTGTACCAAGCTTCAGACTTTTTCATGCTGCTGTTTTCAGAGCTACTTCTGGGAGTCTGCAAGTTTTCAGTGCTCCAAGTTATTGTTATCCTGGGAGAGGTGTGGTCATACTCTCGTTGTCTATGCTTTGTGCTTTACTCAGGAAGGGTCCCTGCTCCCCTGCAGCCACAAGTACTGGTGCTCATCTTGGCCCTAGAACTATGACCAGTTCCTTTGTTCTCCTGCAGCTGCAAGTGCTTGTGCTCCCCTTAGCCCTAGAACTGTGCTCTTGGTCCCTGCTCCCTTATGACTGATCACAGGTGCTCTTCTCTACCCTGCACCTGAGATCCAGAACTCCATAGGGGTAATAAAGTTGCCAGTAAGCACCAGCTGCAACTAGTGTTATCAAAAGGTCCCCTGTAATCTCTTTACAACCAGCTTTCTGACCCCCTTTTAGTCTCTGGGTTGAGAACTCCCAAAGCTGCTGCTTTTGTTGCTGAGTTTTTGGCTACCTCCAAGACCGTTCCAACCCCAGGGTTACAGATTTCTCCTTTGGGCCTCCTAAGTTGTCTTAGGCTGGGGGAAAATAAATGTCTCCTTTTCACTTTTTGTTGGCTTTATCTCTCCAAAATTTGATTTGAGGTGTTATTTTAAAGTTGGGGAAGAATGTTGGGAGAGTTCAGCTGGATCCTAGCAAGTATTCCACCATCTTGACATAATTTCAATACTCTATATCCTAACCCGATTGACTTTCTTTTTTTAAATAGTATTTTATTTTTCCTGATAGTTTGCAAAGACAAATTGCGAAGTGACTTTCTAGATTTTCTTTATACATAACATTCCACCTCTCATCTCCATGTCTTTGCACAGACTTCCCACCCCCCTGCCATGCCTGGAATGCACTTATCTCTCACCCCCACCTCCTTTGGCAAGTCCACTCATTTCTCTGGGCTCCAGTTTCCTCATCTATAAAATAAAGATGTTGAACTGAAATGACTTCAAAGGTCCCCCCCCCCAATTCTAAATAAAGTTATGAAATAAAATTAGAACATAAGTTTCTTGAGAGCAGGGATTATCTTTTACCTTTCTTTGCATCTCTAGAGCTTAGCACAGTGCCTGGCACACGGTAGGCACTTTCTAAATGCTTATTGACTAATAAATAAGGGAAACATTTTCCCTTGAGTAGCTCTTAGTGGTTCAGAGGGAAGAATTTTAATGAGTAGAAATATACATTAATTAGCCAATGATGTGTGTGTACATGACTATATACACAGGTATTATAAAGCTGATTTCTATAAGCCATTCAACAATGTGAGTCTCATTACTTTGTAGCTATACCGAGTATGTATATCTATAAATACGTATGTACATACATGCAGGTATATCAAGTATATGTATTTGTATTTCTAATAGGGAATTAGACAAAAAAATCTGGGTAGTAGATGTGGACTTTGTATAATAAGACATCAGTGATTTAGTTATCTATATACCTATATGGATATGGAAGACACATTTGCATGAATGTTTATGTTAACTTTCAAGGATACTGAACTATACTCCTGATATGGAAAATTCTGATGTGGACGAAGCCATCCAAAAAGCTCTGGAAGTGTGGAGCAAGGTGACCCCACTAACATTCACTAGGATTTCCAAAGGCATCGCTGACATCATGGTTGCTTTTAGGACTAGAGGTACAGTTATAATATGATTGAGTAATAAATCAGGGTGTTTTCATCTTGGGTTATGTGAATTAGATGAGACTTGTCCTGCTTGGCCCCAGAGCGAAGCAATGGGTGCCAACTGCAGAACGCAGTTCAGGTAAGGAGGGTAAAACCTTCTCTAATAATTAGATTCTCAAGGTGAAATGGGCTGCCTTGAGAGGTAGTGAGTTCCCCATCACCAGAGATTTGCAAGGAAAGGCTATGACTACTTTTAAGGGATATTACAGAGTGGATCTTTTGTAGATATGGGTTCCAACATTGAAATTCTGAGATTCTGTAAATAGCTCATTCTTTCAAATATATTCTCATTCAAATGAGATAATATTTGTAAGATGCTTTGTAAATTTAAAACATTATATAAATGCTAGTCTGTTATTGTTGTTAATTTTACAGCCCACGGAAAATGTCCTCGGCAATTTGATGGTCCACTGGAAGTGCTGGGCCATGCTTTTCCTCCTGGCTGGGGAATTGGTGGAGATACCCACTTTGATGAGGATGAAAATTGGACCAAAGATTCAAGTGGTGAGTTCTAGGGATTCTTAATAGCCAACATTTCTTTTTAAGAATTACTTTAAATCAGTCTAGGAATAAAGAGGGTAATAGTCCTAGAGTCAGGAGGACAGGAGTTAAAATCTGGCTTCCAACATTAGCTCTATGACCTTGGGCAAGTCATTAACCTTCTGTCTGGCTCAGTTTCCTCAACTGAAAAATGATGATAATAACAGTACCTATTTTACACTGTTGTTCTAAGGATGAAAAGAGATAATATTTGTAAAGCACTTAGTACAGTGAATGGAATATAGTAAGTACTTAAAAAATGCCAGTTCCCCCTGTGCATTCTAGTTTCTTCAACTACAAAATGGAATAATAACACCTATATCTTAGTCTTGTTCTAAGCTCAAATTAGATACTATTTGTGAATTGCTTAGCATAATGCCTAATTCATAGCAGATATTTAATAAATGCTTGTTTCCTTCCTTCCTTCTTTCTTTTTTTCCTTCCTTCCTTCCTCCTCTTCCTTCTTCCTTCTCCCTCCCTCCCTTCTTTTCTTCTTCTATCTCTCCCTTCCTCATTTCCTTTCTTCTTCCCTTATTTCCTCAATTCCTCTCTCCATCCCTTCCTTCCTTCCTCCCTTGCTTCTTTCTTTCCTCCCTTCCTTCCCCATCCCAAAATAGTAGCTTTCCAATAACAGTTTTTCTCCAAATTCTCAAGGTTGCCGCAAGGCCCTAGCTTCCATATTACAGAATGATATCACCAACTACAAATACCAACTTCATTGTTAGAAAATATATAAAAATAAGAGCCTTCTCCACAGTGGAGCTAATTATTCTGCATGTAGAGGACAGTCATTCTTTCATTTTGTGTGAGTGTGTGTGTGTGTGTGTGTGTGTTTTAATTCCTACCATAGATGGAGCTTCCCAATCATTTTAGTTCTCTTACCCCTAGACTTCCAGGTAACCTTTGTGTACCCTTTATTTAATGTGAAAGGAAATAAGTTCTATTGTTTACCATACCCTTATATATAAGTAAGAGATAAAATAGTGTCAAGAATATAGTATAGTCATTTACCAAATAGTCTCCATAGTTCTTGACAAGCTTCTAGGATGTCCAGTGGGTAAATTTACAACTGGTTGGGAACACCTGACTTACTATATGCAAAGCACTAAGTGAGTGCTAGGCAGACTAACAACTTATATAATATAATACAATACAATACAATACATTGCTTTAAAGGGCCTCATGTCTAGTAATTAAGGTAAGGAAGATACACAAAAATACATAATACGAGTCTGAGCTCAATCAGCCTCAATTTCCCTATGTGCACAATAGAGATAATAATATCACCTACTTTTCAGGGTTATTGTGAGAATCAAATGGGACATTATTTTTAAAATGCTTAAAGCACTATATAAATGTTAGCTATTACAATTATTCTTATTACAAACTATGATATGGAAGTGAAATGAGGAAGGAGGGATAATTTCTGGCTAAGGAGGATCTGGGAATGTGTCTTGGAGAAGATGGCATTTGAGCCAAGATTTCAAAGACAGATAAGGTTTCTGCACCTGGTCATTGTAGGGAGAACATTCCACTAAAGTCAGTCATTCACTTAAGAGTCAAAAGCATTTAAGTGCCTGGCATTGGGCTAAGCACTGGAAATACAAAAAAGGGGGGGGGCAAAAAATAATAGTCAAATGGGGGAGACAAAATACAAAAAAAACCCCTCTATATGCACATGCAAGATATATACAGGATCATTTGGTGATGATCACCAGAGGAAAGAAACTAGAATCAAGGGGAACTGGAAAAGACTTCTTGAAAAAGGAAGGATTTTTGCTGAAACTTGCAGAAAACCAAGGAAAGCAGGAGACAGAGATGAAGAGGAAAAGCGTTCTAGGAATGAAGGACGGCCAGTGAAGTTTCACTGAGTTAAGAGATAAAGTGTCTTGTTTGAGAAACAGCAAGGAAGCCAGTCACTGGACTGAAGAGTACAGGTTGGGATTTAAGGTGTAAGAAGACTGGAAAGGTAGAAAAGTTTGAGTTTAGAAGGATTTTGAATGCCAAAAAGATGACTTTGTATCCTGGAGGTGAACAAAAGCAACTCAAAGTTTATTGAATGAGAAAGGGCAAACAGTGTGTGTGTGACATGGTCAGATCTGCATTTTAGGAAGATCAATTTGACTGCTAAGTGGAGAATGGGCTCAATTGGGGAGATACTTAAGGCAGGGAGACCAATCAGAAAGGCTTTTGCAATAGTTGAAGTGTGACGTAATAAGGGCCTTCAGCAAAGTGATGACAGTGTCAAAAGAGAGAAAAGGGGTATATAAAAGAGATGTTATGGAAGTAAAATCCACAGGATGATAAGTGCGAACAAAATGGGCGTAAAAAATGCCATTGAGAAATTACTTCACAGAAGAAAAAATGGGCTTGTCCTGTGGCAAGAATGATAGAGAACAGGCAGATAGAAAGTGCTCCACTGGAATTCTCAGGATATCAGGAGAAAGTGACGAAGGACACTGCTCCACGGGATGGACCTTTCTGTGGCGAACTTATGTGAGGATATAGACAAGAGGCGCATAATCATAGGCGGTAAAGCTGGGTTACAATTACTGATGGATTGTCGAAATCATTGAGTTTATAAATCTACATGAGTATTTGAGTGGCACCATCAGCAGCATCTTCTGAAATACAAGATAGTAGTCTATAGTCCTAACAGCAAACAATTATAGGTTCTTTTCCTTAGAGTAGCAATCATAGGGGTCTCTGAGACTCCAATGAGCAAAGACACAAGCAGCAATTTTGATACCTGGGACAGTTCAGTTATGGGAGGGTGAGACCCTCAGCTACCGCTAAGATGGGATGAAAGGATGATGAGCAGAGAGGGGTGTTCTGAGTTTCTCTCATATGCTGTAGACTGTGATGGAGAGGAAATATGTGATCATGAGGCTTCCTGCTTTATCTAATCCTTGCTAATTAGGTGCTTCATAGCTGTTTCTGAAGCAATTGCAAGAGTACAAGTGCTGTCAAACACCCTTTCCATTTCAGTGTTTGGGGCAAAGGACCAGCAACCCTACCCTAGCTGCAGCTATGCCAGGAAAAATCATTTTACCTCCATATGTTGAATTTCATCTTGTCTACCTGAATGAAAAGGTATCATGAATTGATTGGATGGAATGCTGGGCTTAGTACCTCTGAAACTTTATTAGATGGTGTGGTCCTGGACAAGGCATTTAACCTTTATGCACCTTGTACAACTCCCTAAAACTTAAATGAGCTGTAAGAACCTCAGTAGTCTTATCCTGCTAAATGAAGAAGCCCTAGGAAAACTCAAATGCCTTGAGTCACCTAGTCAAAAGAAGGTCATCCGTAACAACTAAAGCCCCTTTCCCAAAGAGTTCAAATATTACCAAGTCACCAATTCCCCAGGAGTTTCCCTGTCCCCACCCCACCACTAACATGCATCAGTGCCAGTTCCTAAGCCCAGGCTTCTCTCTCCTTCTCCCCAACATCTGGTCCTGTTTGACCTAGATAAGAACCCTATGAAAACACAGCAGACTTTACCAGCTTGAGCTCCCAATTCTAAGCAGGGATCCAGAGAACTTGACCTGTATGTATTGTTCCTGATTGCCCTTCTTTATCATATGTCCCCTCAATAAAGTTTTACCTTTTCAGTAATGTTGTGTGCTCATGTTTCCTTGAACTGAACTTTGGTATTCCAAACCTTATTAAATCTGCAATAAGACAGCTATCTTTTAATAGCAAGTTTGAATAATTCCTGAATGAATTCTAGCCCATAAAAGTATTACCTTCCTGGTGACAATCCTATTTTCACCTCCCTCAAGCCAACCTTTCATCTAACATGCAAGTGTTCTCATTTACACATGTCTATTATTCATTCAAAAAATATCTATTAAGCTCAATATAGCACAGTATTGTATTTTTCCCCAGTTACACTATACTGCACAGCTATTTATCTCATAATATTCCCCAACCTGACTCTTCATATGCATCCTATGTCCTCAATGCCCGGAATGCTCTCTCTGCGCACCTTTGACTCTTGCTTGGCTCACTGGTTTCCTTGAAGACTCAGCTCAAATGCTACCTTCTTCAGAAGACCTTTTTCACCCCTACCTTATCTCTGAGGTTATTTTCCATCTATTCTATATGCATTTGGGATTTACATAGTGATTTACATGTTTTATCCTCCTTTAGACTGTGAGCTACTTAAGAGAAGGGACTGTTTGTGCCATTCTTTGTATTCATAGTGCTTGTTACACTTGTTACTGACATACAGTAGGCAAACAGGTAGCCCTTAGTAAGCACTTGTTGACTGACTGGCTAATTGACTGTTTCCATTTTTTTTAAGGATTCAACTTGTTTATCGTAGCTGCTCATGAGTTTGGCCATTCCCTGGGCCTCTCTCATTCCAATGATCCCAGTGCCCTGATGTTCCCAAATTATGCCTTCATTGATCCCAGCAAATCTCCCCTTTCTCTGGATGATATCAAGGGCATTCAGGCCATCTATGGTAAGTGGAGTTCTAGGCTTTACACAAAGGTGTTGAACAATAAGACTTTCAGAAAGGAAATTAGGTAAATCATTTCTTAATTTTTTCACAAAAAAACTCCCATTGTGCAAGCCTCCTCTGTACTCATGCTGTTTCCTCACATTCTTGTTGTTCATTATGGCTGTTTCAAATGTATTGTTCTCTCACTGAAGGATCCTCACCTAAGGTATCTGCTAAGCCAAAGAGACCCACTATCCCCCAAGCCTGTGACCCTAACTTGACTTTCGATGCTGTCACCACCTTCCGCAGAGAAGTAATGTTCTTTAAAGACAGGTAAATCATTTTTCTCTCAACAGTATCTCTTCCTTTTCTGGAACTTGTTCCTTTTAAATGAATTTTTGTTTTGTTGAGTGCCCATTGTGCCAAAGGGTGAAATGTCTATTTTAAGCAATCATTTTGCAGGATTACTGCAAAAATCTTTAAATCTTGTCCCAGAACACTGTAATCTGTGGTAGGGACTTGTGCTATATTGAATTACTTAGGCTTTGATTGACCACAGTGGTTCACTTTTTTTCCTTATGCCATTTCTGCATTTGTTAACAGATTCCTAACTTTTAGTATTCAGGCAGACACTGGAGAACTACCTGGATGACTAGACTAGAGAGCGTTCCTACTTTGGGTGGGAGGCAGACTAGGCAACCTCCGAAGTCCTTTCCAAAGTTAAAACAGACTCTAGCATCCTATGGCTGCAAAGACATTTTTCAATCCAACAAATGTCAGTGCTAAAAGTACCATCTCAGAAGGCCAGCCCTAAGCCACCTAGGCTTTGGCTTCCTAGAGTTGTGGTCCTGTCTGAGAAATGCCTTCACTAGTAGGGACTCTTTAGAGAGTCCATAAGGAGCACAATCTCTTCTACCCAGCCCACAGAGGTAAAAACAAGTCCACATCCCTTTAGAGTTGCTAAGTGCAGGTAGCTTCAATACTATTGCATCTATTAGAGATACACAAGAGATCCTTATAAATCATGATGGTGATGATTATGGTCATTTACATGCATCTCTTTGCCACCAATATCTATACTGTATATACACCTAACATTGTTTATGTCTGAAATAGGCATTTATGGAGAATTCATCATGAAGTCTCAGAAGTTGAATTTGAATTAATATCTTCATTTTGGCCATCTCTGCCAGACGGTATTCAAGCTGCATATGAAAATAATAGGGATGAAACTCTGATTTTTAAAGGTAACTTTTTCCATTGTATCTTTCTGTCATTTGTAGCTAATTTAAATATTAGGAAAACAGACATCACCATTGATCCAGAATGAAAGTGTTTCCCTATTATAAAGTAAGGAAGCATCACACTCTGTGCTAGTTACTTTACAAATATCTCATTTAATCTTCACAACAACCCAAGGAGGTAGGTGCTATCATTATCTCATTTTTAAGATGAGGAAATTGAGGTAGACAGAGGTTAAATGACTTGTCCAGAGCCACACAGCTAGTAGGTTGCTGATGCCATATTTGAAATCAGGTCTCCCTGACTCTAGACCCAGCACTCCATTCATGGCATCACTTAGTTGCCCTCACTTTGGCCTTAGCTTCTTAATTATAAAGAAAATTGCAACAAGGACATCATAAAGAGTCTCCAGTAGTTTTATATGTATATATTTCTGAGGTGATAGCTGAAATATAATGCAAAGAGCATTTGACTTGGAATCAGAAGACCTGACTTTGATTTTGACTGTCATTTAATTTGTAGGTGACTCAGACAAGCCCCTTCTTTTCTCATTCCCTCAGTTTCTAAATCTGTAAAATGATGATAATAACACTTGCACTAACCACCTCAAAGTGTTATGGTGAAGAGCATATAAGACAATGTGTACATCTTAAAGTTGTATCTACAAATGTCAGGTCTTTTCTACACAAATTTGAATATAAACACCAAGGTACCCAAGGCATGCGTGGGTATCATAAGAATTAAGACCCTTTCTTAAAAAAATAGCATGCATTTTCTCTCCTTTCCATTTTCCTTTTATTTGGCTTCCAATAAGAAGATGTGCCTCTAGTGATACTTTGATTGGATATGCTCAGACTAATGTGATTATTTTGACTTCTAAAATTGGTCAAAGTTGACCATAGAAATCAAGGTATTTCTCTTATGTAGACATAGCCTCAAGGTGTTTTCTATAAGTAGATGTTTATTTCCCTAAGTCTAGTGATTTCTTGAGCAGAAGGAAGAGATTGGACATGAAGTGGATAAAATGAATAATCATGTCAGTAAGCAGAATTGACCTTGTGACCTGAAGATTTTTCATGACTCTTAAGACATTTTTTTTTCACCCTGAGAGCAAGACGTTCAAAGATTATCTCTTTTTCCTCACTCTAGATGGACATTTCTGGATGATCAGTTCAAATGCCATTCCGCCAGGTTATCCCAAACCCATCTACGACCTTGGCTTTTCAAGGCGCATACAAAAGATAGATGCTGCTCTCTTTAACAGGAACACAAGAAAAACCTATTTCTTTGTTGAAGATAAGTACTGGAGGTAAACCCAGAATGCACTGTGCTCTTTGTTTGTCCTAGAGTGAAAAGTACCCATACAGCTTTAGGCCCATAGAGAGGAAGCAAGATGTTCCAGTACTGGCTTGTATTTTTTGGTAGTGCATGTTTCGATCAAGAGAGCTTTTTGCTGTCTGCATCTTTTGGGGCACAAGCTGTATGCCAATTACAAATCTCCAGGTTTGAAGGCACCTCGGGATCTACCTAGTCCAATGCACTCCTGAATCAGAATCTTCTCTCAAAGATACCCAACAAAGGACCAACAAAACTTTGATTGAAGAAGAAATCCAGCATCTTCTGAAGCAGTCTATTCTATCTGACTCAAATTATCTTAAATTGTTAAGAACTGTTTCTCTTTAAAAAAAAAGTCTAAATTTGCCTCTTTGAAACTTCCACTCCTTGCTCCATTTTTTATTGCAGATATGATGAAATAAACCAATCCATGGAGAAAGGTTACCCTAGACAAATATCAGGACTCTTTCCAGGAATTGGCCTTCCAGTTGATGCTGCATTCCAGTATAAGAGTAAGTAGAACCGCCAACCAGGATAGGTGGGAAAACTATTCTAAGTGACTAAAAGTTTGAATCCTTCTTAAAGACATGTACTTTCATTGCTTTCAAGAATATGTAGTAGCCAAGTGAACCAAGTGATTTTGTCTCTTGTCACTAAGGGAAGGATATCCAGCATAAGAGAATAAGAGTATGAGAAGTGGGGGGAAAGGCCACTGGATATAAAAAATTGGAAAGTCATTGGTGGCCAGTGTAAACACAGGTTCACTAGAATGGTGAGGTCAAAAACTATATCACAGGGGGAATGAGGAAAGAATAAATAGTGAGAAAGTAAAACCACTGTATATAAACAACATTTCTGAATTAATTCAGTATTAAAGGGGAAGAAAGAGATGACACAGTCACTGAATGGAGTAGAAGAGTCAAGAGAAGGCTTTTTTTGAGACTAGCTTGCCATCTCTCTCCTAGATTGGAATTTCAGTAGCCACTCATATCAATCCTACTGTTGATTGGCACAGAAACATTGACTTTCTCTATTTCCAATCTGAGCCCAGTCTCCACCACTTTGGACAGCCTGATAGCCCTTCTGCTCCCACAGGCTCATCATCTTGATGCTGGAGTTAGTGAGGGTGCACATCTGGCTTTAGCCTTACTACATCTCAAAACTCCTCAGTTCAAGCAATACGCTAGCTCCAACCACCTCAGTATCAGGGCATACACATAGGCATGTAGCACCACACTCAGTTGAGGAAAAGCTTTTTTAGGTGTGGGAGATTTGACTATTTTTATAGAAATATGGTAAGGAACCACTGTTGAAAAAGAATTTGAAGATGCTTTAAAGAGAAGAAATAATAATAACAGTAGTAGTAGTAGTAGTAGTAGTAGTAGTAGTAGAAGAAGAAGAAGAAGAAGAAGAAGAAGAAGAAGAAGAAGAAGAAGAAGAAGAAGAAGAAGAAGAAGCCACAGTGGAAGTATCAACACATAAGAATTCTAAGTAGCATTGAAGAATAGAATGTCAAGAAAAGTGGCTTGACCAGACCAATATAGAACAAGGAAATCTATACTGAACGTAATACAATCTTGAAAACATTGGGAGGGATTACTTTATAAGAGGGCAAGATTTCAAAAAAAACAGAAAAAAATGCAGAAAAATTTAATAATCATTCCAAAGGGATCGAGAATGTTGCAACACCTACCTACCTACATATCTTGCTTTCTCTTCTTTATATAATTCTTATGACAATAATATGAAAGTATAGAAGCCTTTTACAACTGATTTTCTTCAATAAGTCACAGCTTCATAGTCATTCATCTGACTGCAAGATGCAGAGAACAAGATCCCACTGTGCTTATTATTTGTAAATTATTTTTAAAATGGAAAAGTATTTGACTCAGTAGAATAAAAGGCAACCTAAGAAGCTCTCTTCCAACAAGGAGTCTTTTGCGACCAAATTATGATATAAGCTATCCAGATAAATGAAACTACAGAGATAAATGTTTCAATTGACTCTGGTTATTACTGTCAAATAGGATACAAAACAAGGAGATATATCTTAGCTAAAGTTGTTCCTCACTATCATAGGGGATGCCCTGTTCATGACACAAATAGAGGAAAGATTCCACATAGATGATTCTCTGATGATCCTGTTTGTAGATGATAATGTTTGATTACATCAAACTCCAAAAAATTATAGGGCTTCCTCAAGGAGATCCAAGGTTACATAAAAGAGTTTTGGCCTAACAATTCATCCAGGAAAAACTAAATGGATGAAAAATGGTTGTGGCTCAAACTGTGACATATCATTGTATCATCATATCCTTGAGTTTGTATGTCAGTTACACATAGCTGGGATAGGCATTGTAGGTGGACAATGAATTGAACCCATAAATACATAGAAGGAAGAGTAGAGGCAATTGCATTTTGGAAATTATACAGTGCTTTTAAGATGTCAAACTAGTTCTCAACAAAAAATACCTATATTGTAACATAAATGATCTCCTGGCAATTTTGTTTAGCTTAAAATCTTAGAAAACCACAGTGTCTGAATAATCAAAGTTATGGCTAACTCAAAGGGAAACAGTGGGTATATAATTGGCTGCAGAATATTTTCAGTGACGACCAGCGTGAAACAAATGGTAAAAAAGGAAAATTGTTATGGAAATGCGTGATTTGAAAATAAGGAAAGTTGATAATGTAACAAGAGCAATTAATAAAAAGTGGATGGCTCAGGAGTGGCACTGGCACCCATGCCTCTGATTGATTTAGAGATGGGGAATGTCTCCACTTACTAAGCCTGTTCTACTAAGACAGCTCCAATTGTTGAAACTTTTTCCATATATTAAGCTGTAACCCACTTCTTTGCGATTTCCATCTCTTTTTTTTGTACTTTGTTTCGCCCTCTGGAACCAATCAGAGCAAATCTAGCTACTTTTCTAGATGACCATCCTTTAAATGGGACACATATCACAAAGGTTGAGTTTGCTTTTTTTTTTCCTTTAAGCTCTGTCAAGGAAACAGATCAAAGAAGAGATGGGACCCTTGCTTATAATTGCTAGAATTATGATAATATATGATGAAGAGAATACAGAATTAATCTCTTTTTGCTTTGTTTCTATTTTCTTAATCTAAAAAAGATATCTCTGGATTCAGGAGAGAACAAAAATTGTTAAAAATAGAACTGTACCCCCAAGAGAAGTGAGGAGATGGCATCTATCTTCAGTGAGTTCATGGCAGTAAATGAATTGTAGCCTCATTTACTGGAAGGACTTATGGATGTGAATTCTGAGATATTATCAGGGATCTCTTGAAAAACAGGAGAATAGGAAAGGAGCTGAAGTATGTAATATGGACATATTTTGTCTACAATTTATAGGTTGCAGAACTTGACTTTGATTCTTTATAAATATTCTAAAGAATGTTATAAAAGGGATGGTTTGTGAGCATTTAAAGAAGAAAAAGAATTTATTACTTCTTAGTGATTACTAAAAGCCACCATGACTATCAAGAACAGGCATAACAAAGAACTTACATTTTCTTTTCTGACAGGATTTTGCACTGATAAGTCAGGGTATAATGGATTTCAGCAAAGTATTTTACAAACAACTATGTTAAATTGAAAATGTGATGAAGAAATGTGCCTAAACAAAAATATGGCTAGGTGGATATGGAACCAATTGGATGACCTGAAAAATAGGCATTAGTGGGTTGAAATCAATCTAGAAGGAGAATTATAGTAGAATTCCCCAAAGATCACTCCTCCCTTTGCTGTTTGAAATCTTTATCAATAAGTCAAAGACATAGATGGCATGCTTACCAAATTTAACACAAAGCTGGGGAGGATGGCAAACTTGTGGGATGACAGTATAAGAATTCTAAAGGGTCTTGATAAAGATGGGTCAAACTTAATAAAATATAGTTGAATAGAGATAAATTTACATTCCTAAATTTGGACTTTTCATAATTAATGACACAAGTATGTGATAGGAAGTTGAAGCTAGACAACAGCTGATGTGAAAAAAGATCTCAGAGTTTTGGTATACTGCAAACACAAGATGAGTCAAGTATGTTTTTTAAGTAAAAAATTCTATCATGAAGTTTGGCTGCACAAGAGAAGGGTGGTGTCCTGGCTTCGGGAAGTGATCATCTCACTGTGCTCCACAATACTCAGTTCCCTGCTAGAATATTGCCTTCAGTTCTGGCTGCCAAATTTTAGGAAGGATTTGATAAGTTACAGCATGTCTAATGGTAAGCTAAAATGATAGTGACAAGGACCAGAGGCTTTGCTAAGGGAGGTGGGTGTTCATTTTCGAAGAAGACCATGACATCGGGGAGGTAATACCATGACACGCAAGTGAATTGGATTTAAGTGAGGGAGGGCTGTGCAAAGTCACCAGCCTCACTTTCTCCTCTGGAGGCACCTGGGTCCAGTGGCAAGATATAGACCAGGATGACTGGAGATGGCCCTCTACAGGAGAATTATTGAAGGAACTAAAGATGTTTAGCTTGGAGAAAATATAGGAGGACATAATAACTATTTTCTTTTCTCTTTTCTCTTTTTTCTTTTTTTTAGGCAATTGGGGTTAAGTGACTTGCCCAGGGTCGCACAGCTAGTAAAAGTCTAGTGTTTGGTCTGAGGCTGGATTTGAACTCAGGTCCTCCTGACTTCAGGGCCAGAGCTCTATCCACAGCACCACCTAGCTGCCCCCATGATAACTATTTTCAATGTCCCAGGACAGAACCAGTGGATATTACAGAAAGGCTTTTAAGTAAGGGCAAACTTTCTTACAGTTTAAGTTATCCAAAATTGGATCAGCCTGCCTGGGGATGGAAGGGACTATGCTTCCCTGGAAATCCTCAAATGGACTCTAAATGCTGTTGCTGCTGTTCAGTTATTTCAGTCATGTCCAATGTGTGACCCCATCTGGGGTTTTCCTGGCAAAGGTCCTTCTCCAGCTCATTTTACATTTGAGGTAATTGAAGTAAACAAAGCTCAATACCTAGCCCAGAGTCACACAGCTAGTAAGTGTCTGAGGACAGATTTGAACTCAGGAAGATGAGTCTTCCTGCCTCCAGCCCCTGCACTATTCATTTCACCACCTAGCTATCTACTCTAGATGACTATCTGTCAATGATAATGTAGAAGAGATTTCTGTTCGGGTGCAGTTGGTCTAGATCAGTGGTTCTCAAAATTTTTAGTCTAGGGACCCCTTTATACTCTCAAAATTATTAAGGATACCCCCAAAGTAAGAAAAAGAGGTATAACTATTTAGCTGCACAAGGTAATAATTGGACTTAATTTTCTTTCTAGGATTCTTCTATTTCTTCAGTGGGACAAAACAATTTGAGTTTAACCCTTATACCAAGAATATTACTCGCGTTTTGGAGGCCAACAGCTGGTTGAAGTGTCAAAAAACATTCAACTCATTACCTTATTATTGTTTCAGCCATGAAAAAAATTCAAATTCAAAATCATTGCAAGTGATTTCTCAACAGAGTTTTATATTACTTATTTACTGTATCGCTTATCTGCTGACAGAAATCTACAGCTGATGAAAGAACTGTCAAATAATAGACATGGAAGAGATTTCAAAAAGTCATCAATTCTAGACTTGTGCCCCAAAATATTACTGAATCATTCCTGATGGAAGGCCATAAATCCTTTCCTTAAAGAATAAGGATGGTGACTCTATGTCCTTTGGGAGTTACCAGGTTCAGTGTTTTATTATGTTTAGCATTAAGTTGTTCTTAAATCTCCCATATGACAATCTCAGTACTTTGTCGGCATAAAGAAGACTTGAGTAAGTGACTAATAATGACCAAATACTAACAACATTTATTAAGCAAAATTCAGAATTGTTTTTCAACTAGATCAAATAACTCCAATCTAACTATAACTTACATGTGTTAAGACTGAGTAATACACAAATTGCAAGCATGTGTACCTGAACAATAGATATTTGATTGAGGCACGTGAATGTGAAAAGAGTGTCCTTTCGCATATTTATCATTCCTCTTATAAAACATATTCTTGGATATCCTTCAGATTCTAATAATAACTGACATTCATAGAGTGCTCTAAATTTGAAAGTTGCAAAGTGCTTTACATATATTTTATCATTTAAACCTCATGATAACCCTGTGAGATAGGTACTACAGGTATTATTACCCCTATTTTACAGATGAGAAAATGGAGGTTCAGAAAATTTAAGTGACGACCAAAATCACACAAGTAGTCAACCAGCAGAGGCAAGATTTCAACTGTGGTCTTCCTGACTCTACATCTAGCATGTTTTTGCCCTCTATCACACAAATTTCTACAGCAAGTTCTCTATCTCTAGCATTTATTTTTCATACTATTAGTCACCAACCCAAATTCTAGTTCTTTTCTTAGTAGCAAAGCCCTCAGTACATTGTCTTGGAAGCTGGGAAAATCTCATTCTCATTTAATATTAATTGGGTGTTGATATAGGAACTACACACACTAGAGACAGTACAGAAACTGAAAAATGTCACAGGTGCTATACATTTTCACTAGACTCATTCTTATTTCTTCTCTAAATAGTTGCTTTCCCTGAGATCAGAATTTTTCCAATTAACAAAGACATTTTAGTGAGTAAATATTCATAGCTCACATTTCTGCATAGTTGAATAGGTTGATAGAATGTATTCCTTACTACAGTCATGTGAGGTAGGTAGTGGAAATGTAGTTATCCCCATTTTACTGAGAAGGAATAAGGAAACTGAGTCTCAAAATGGTGAAATGACTAGTCAAAGTGAGAAAGCAGGACTTGAACCCAGATTTTTTCACTATAAATTCACTATTCATTATGCCACACTGCTGCCTAAAGCTTTGCACCACCTGCAAGGTGAAAAATATTTTTATAAAGATAATGTCTCTCCTGTTAGGCACTCAATAAATATTTGTTGAATGAGTAGTTTTACTTTTGTTATCATGGAATGGGGAAGGGAAAGAGGGAGAGAGACTTACAGACTCAATAAAAGAACATGAATGTAAATTAATGTAGAGTTGGAAAGAATCTCTGATGTCATTTGGTATAACCTTCTCATTTTATAGCTAAGAAAATTGAGGCTCAAGGAAATTAATCATCTGAAGGTCCTCTGACTTTAACTCAGCACTTTTCCCACCATACCATACTATTTTGCACATATAGCCTCTACTATCCCCAAAGCAGCTTAATCTGGTGAGTATCTGAAATTCCAGAGCTATTCTTAACTTTAAAGAAATAAAATCTTCCTAGGAAAGATCAAGAATGATACAAGAGGGCCAATCTCTTGGAATATTATAGGATCATACACTAAGAGCTAGAAGAAACCTTGGAGTTCATCTTGTCCAAAATCCTTCATTTTTCTGATTAGGAAACAGATCCAGAGAGCTTAACAGACTTAGTCAATGTCACAGAGGGAGTAATTGGCAGAGCCAGATTTCTAATATAGATCTAAATGTTAGAACTATTAGAATGACAGGTGGCATAGTAGATAAACCATTGAGCCTGGAGTCAGAAAGAGGTGAGTTCAACTATGACCTTAGATACTTACTAGCTGTGTGACCTTGGGTAAATTACTTAAATTCTATCTGCCTCAGTTTTCTTATCTGTAAAATGGAGATCATGACAGCACCTACATTCCAGGATTATTATTAGAATAAAATGAGGTTATTTGTTTAAAGCACTTTGCAAACTTTAAATATATAAACATATATATAAGTTATAATATATAAATATATAAAAGTATATATTAGTATATAATTATTAGCTATATTAACAATTATTATTATTATTATTATCTAAAAGATTATAAGAAAGGCATTGGGTGCACCCTTCTTTCGCCCTATTTGAACAGATGGAAAGCCAAGGCTGGAATTAGGTAATGTATGTATCACCTCAAGTAAGTTATTCCACTTCTCCAGGCTCCAGGATCATACCAGATGATTTCTAACACTTCTCCCAACTTTAGATGTATGATGGTATTATCCTGTAAGTCCTCACAGAAGAACTGCTGAGCCCAGAAAGAGTCCTTGGTTGTCTCGCTAGTGTGCTCCATAGCTAACAGAAAGCAAGGGCTATGCCCATCATTGCCTTTGTCCCTGTCTTATTTTCTTGTCAGTATGACTGGAGCTCAAAGAAATTCCTTCATGGACAAGCAGCAGCAAGATGACTTTGTGACGTTTATCATTCTGTCTTGGAGATCTCTCCCACATAAACCATGTTGATCCCAAGATAGAAAATTTAATCATCACCATGGAATGGAAATGAATGCACACTCATTAAGCAGAGATAACTTTTTCACCCCTTACCTCAAGCCAAAGACAGAAATTCATGAAAGGTGGGCCTCAAAAATGAATCACTTGCTTAGAGAGCTGGTTTTGTGTGCTGACTTGTAGAGATTTCTGATTCAGCCTTGTTAAGACCACACTTTCATATCTTTACCTGAAATCCATGTCTTCAGATGTTTGTCTTTAGGTATACAGGGAAGTTCCTAAATAGACAAATCTGCGTCTACCGAATATGTTTTTAGGCTGTTTTTTTTTCCTATATCTGACCTACAAAGCTGCATCTGACTCACAATCACATATATTCTGTCCCCATCCAACATTCATTCCAAATCTGTCCACCTTCACAGCATATCCTAGAACCATCTCTTACTGGCATCACACAGGGAGAGCTGGGCTGCTGTATTTCTGCATGGAAAGGAGAATTTGATCCTTAGTCAAGAAAAGGAAAATGCAAAATCTATGATTTAATAATTAATTTAGGAGTTTGTTTTCCCAGTCAAATCTTTCCCGAATTGACAAACATTAAATTGTAACAGCTAATATTTACTATATGGCTAATGAGAAAATTAAAGTAAGTCAAATTTGCCTTGAATCACAAGGTTTAAGGAAATTCTGCTTTATTTGAATGAATGGATCATGTGAGTGAATGTATAAATGAATGAATGAATGAATGAATGAATGAATGAATGAAAAAACATTTGTTCAGTACTTACTATGGTACTTGGCACTTACTATACGCCAATCACTGTGCTAAGTGCTGTGAACATAAATGGAAGTGAAGGACCTCAGTTCAACAAATATTTATCAAACACCTTCTTTACATATGTGTGTGTGTATGTATACACACACACACACACACACACACACACACATATATATATACATATATATATACAGAGAGAGAGGAGTATAACAGAACTTTCACTGTTATATTCTTCATTTTATATATATATATACATATACATGTGTGTGTATATATATACGTGTGTGTATGTGTATGTGTGTGTGTGTGTGTGTGTATATATATATACATATATACATATATATACAGAGAGAGAGAGAGAGAGAGAGAGAGAGAGAGAGAGAGAGAGAGAGAGAAGAGTATAATAGAACTTTCACTGTTATATTCCTCTTCTAAGGACCAGTGGACAATTTATTGTATTGTAACCAGTAACCATTTTCTTTTACAACATTTTGGAGTCAAGAGATACAACTGCTGCTGTACCTTCCTTTTCGCTACCAAATGACAGAAGATAGGTGGTCAGAGACAATCAATTTCTTTGTGTATGATATTTAATAAAATAGTTATAATTATAATAATTTAATGTAATTTTTATCCATGATGATTATAAGCTTTTGAAAATAATAACAGGGAATGATAATAGCTAACATTTACAGAGTTTACTATGTGCCAGGTACTGTGCTAAGCATTTTACAATTATTATCTCACTTGTTCTCACAACAACTCTGTGAAGTAGGTGCTATTATTATCCTCATTTTATTGATAAGGAACCTGAGGCAAATAGAAGCTAAGTGATTTGGTCAAGGTCATACAGCTAGTGCCTGAGGTCACATTTGAACTCAGGTCTTCCTGACTCCAGGCCCAGGACTCTACCCACTGGGCAACCTAGCTGATAACCAGTGTATTCAGTTTATTTGGTGAATTTTCATTTTTATTGTGTTTTGAGATCACCAAGGATAAAAGTAGAGAAAAATAAAAGAAGTTTAAAAAACATAATTTAGGGAAATATATCATTAATGGGACAGGAAGAAAAAGATCAGTCATCAAAGGTTACAGGGAAGTAGTGTCAGAAACATGGGAGGAAAACAAAGTTACAGAAGGAAGTAGACAAAAAGGGGGCTCATCACCAGAGGCAAATCTTATAAAAAGTGAAGAACGATGGGTAAAAGAAAAGGCCATTGAATTTGGCAGTTTAGGCTTCTGCTGTGCCTGGAATAGGGTTCCCTATGGTGCTATGTTCCATTTTCACTATGACGTTAAAGCAAAACATTCACAATTTCTATAACCTTAGAGCTCTTAATGAAGGAAGAGGATAGCTTGCTACATGAAATCACTTAGGTGGCATCTACTTGTACCTCCAAATATCTACAAAAGAGTGATGATATCTATACTACAAATCTGAAGAGAACTTCGGAAAAATTTCTGCTAGTGACCTGTGCCATTATTGTCATTCAAAATTCAACTGCTGTGGCATTTCACCCACTGTTCTGACTGGCATGATGTTTTAAAATGTGTTGCTGTCAATGGAGCCACCCCTATTGCTGGGAGTTTCACACTGAATACTTTCACTCCCCAGATCCAGGCAGCTTTCTGAGAGCTTCTCTTTTTGTGAGTTACTGATCCCACCAGCCCTCAGGGGAGCTTATGTTAGCCTCCCAGCTACTGCACTGTGTCACGGACTCCCCTCTTTGATATATGGTAATTGCCATTTCATGGAATTATAAAAGAGCTTACTCATTGGCTCTAATGTAGTGGATGCTGGTCCATGAAGCCCTTATTATATATGGCACCATCCTTTGTGAACCCCCATGAGAGATTACATCTGATTTTACTTTTACTGGGGTGTAGAGAAGATTGAAATGGAGGAGTAAGTAGTAGCTAAAAAGGCAGTCACAAAGGGGGAGTTTCAGGGTGAATGGATGGCCCCAGCCCCAGGATTCACTGCATATTGGTCTGAAGGAGTACAGGTGCCAGGAGTGCCCATCTGGTACTCCACTGAAGATGGCAGTACTCAATTTGCTACCGAAGACTGGTCCACAGCTCCTAGTGGGTAGGAACTACCACAGAATGGCCTTAAGTTTTAGTCCAGATGCACTTAATAATGTTGAAATAAGCTGAATAAAAATAA